CTAATCAATCTATATAAAAGGGATCCTCAGGAACAGAAGGAACACATAGAAAACAGAGAGAAAACAGCTACTGGTTGAGAGAAAAAGGCATACAGAAGAGATTTGAAGGCTAAAAAGGGTTTAGAGGCATTAGAATAGCTTTAGGAATTAGGGAAATTTTTTTTGGAGATTTTTCTATGAAATTTTTTTCTGGAAATTTTTGAAAAATTTTCAGGATTCGGTGAGTTTTTCGGCAAAAATTTCGACCAAGTTTGAAGCTTCCTGCCAACTTCCCAATTTTCGGTAACATTTCTAGAAATCGATCAGTTTTCTGGTGAACTTTCGATGAAAAACCCAGATTTTGACGAAAATTTTTAAAATCCGGTGAATATTCAATCGGAGTTCTTCGGGTGTTCTAGAGAGAAAGGAAAAGGAAGAGAGAAGGGAAGAGGCTCAGTCTGCTGAAAAAATGAAGGATTCAACCTTATATACCCTCCCAAAATGAGTCATTTTTACGTTAAATAACCTAGAGGATCCGTGCGTTTTGCCAAGATCCGACCCGACCCGAGCGTCGACCCATTTTTTGACCCGCGCGTGATCTGCCTCCCCGAGCCGTTAGTCGAGCTAAGTGAAGTCGAGCCGTTTCAGGTTTTTTATTTATTTATTTTTTATTATTAGATTAGGTTTATTTAATATATTTTTATCTTTATTTTATTTTTATTTTTATTTTTGTTTTACCTTTCTTTATTTTTTATTTTTTTATTTTGTTTTATTATTTTATTTTCTTTAAATAAAATCCAAAAAAAATATTTTTTAGGAAAAGTTGAAAGTATCAATTTTTCTTAAAAATAAATTTTTAAAAAAAGTGTTTGAAGAAAAGTTGAAAGTATCAATTTTCCTTAAGTATCAATTTTCCTTAAAAATAAATTTTCAAAAAAGGTTTTTGAAGAAAAGTTGAAAGTATCAATTTTTCTTAAAAATAAATTTCAAAAAAGGTTTTTGAGGAAAAGTTGAAAGTATCAATTTTTCTTAAAAATAATTTTTTTTTAAAAACAATTTTAAGGAAAAGTTGAAAGTATCAATTTTTCTCAAAATTAAGGTTTCCAAAAAAATATTTTTTGAAAAAAGTTGAAAGTATCAATTTTCCTCGAGATTAAAATTTTTAAAAAATATTTTGGAGAAAAGTTGAAAGTATCAATTTTTTCTGCATAAAAACAATCATTCTTCTCTTCTTTTTTATTTTTTTAATGTTAAATAATTTGATGATGGAGCATTTGCAAGTGAAACAATAGTTTTCTTGTATACTCTTGAGGTGATGGCATTTTCTCAATTTTTTGCTAAAAGTATTAGAGTCAATTGAGAATAATTTTTAATAATTAATTACTTGGTAAATTTTTAAGGTTTATTGGATAACACAAATTTAAGCTGGTACCATCTTTTGATGGGCGTTGTGAGGGTGTTATAACCTTTCTCACACGTAACCGAACTCCTGAACTCTGTTTTGGTTAGTAGACCTGAACCTATTCTTTTAGGGACCCTTAAATTTAGGTGTTTCCTGAAAGAACAGATTCCTTAGGTGGTCAATCGCACCTAGATAAAAAAGATTGGTGACGACTCCCTTAAGTCAATGTCTAGCGATAGGTCTCCGGATCTAGACGTTATGACACTTATTGTTCAAGTATTTGTATATTTGATTAACAGCATAAGCGAGAAAAATTACTTTTTTCAACTATACAGAAATTTACACGGAAGACAAATAAACAGATAGACTTTATTTATCAACTCAACAAGTATAACCATTATTAAGCCACGATTAAACGATTACTATAATTTCTACAAAACTAAGATCAAAGCACTAAAATGAAAATTAAGATAAATATTTATGGGTGTTCTCATTTGAAGACCCTAATTTATTACAAATGAATCACATCTTTTTTTAAAAAAAAAAAGTTTTGAATGTAAAAATAGGTAGAAACAGGTCATGGGTCGGGTTGTGCGAATCTTGGGTCGGGTCGAGGTCAATGCGTGAGTCCTCATTTGGTAAAAACATCGTTTTGGGCTTTATCTATTTATATAAAGCCAAATTTTTTTGTTCAGCTCATTTTTCTTCTGTTCTAAAAAAAACTTTCAGAGCTATAGAGCTTTGTTAGTGTCCAGCGTCAGACCGCGGCACCGACCGCCACCTAGGGTCACCGCTAATGGTGGGCGACAGTCGTGCGATTATCGAAAAATGCCAAAAGCTTCCAAAAGTTCTTTTCAGCACTTTTTTCTTAGATCTAACTTTTTTTTCGCTTGAAATAGCCTCGATCAGCATAGATCGGTACTTAAAGTTTCTGTCTTTTTTTTTTTATGAACTAAAATTGATTTTTTTTTACAGGTACCTCTTTTGGCACTAGGTTCCTTGCTAATTTGGCAAGGACTGTGTTTGTTGTTTTCTTTTTTGTGGATTTTTTGTTTGTGTTTTTTTTTAGGTTATCGATTTGAAAGGGGGCTGGGTGAGGTGTGAGGGTCGTTGGATGTGTGAACTTGGTGGAGCTGTGGTCTTAGTGGTCGGGATGGGTGTTGGTCGAGAGGGCTTTATTGGATATGGGGTGCTAGTGTGCGAATAAAGAGGAAAGGATAGTGCTTGGGCGAAGTAATTGGTAGTGGCTGAATGGGGTTTCTGGGTTTCTGAAAATGTGTCATAGAGAGCTTAAAAAGGAAAAAACTAGGGCTTTAAGGGGTCGATTGTCTGGAATAATAGGTGGAGTAGATGATGGCTGTAGGGGTGAGTAGGTTAGGCTGTAGGGGTGATTGTAAGGTGGCTAGTAAGTTGGGGTGCATGGTGGTGGTAAAATGGCTGGACAAGCTGATACCGTGTATGACAGCATACCTATCCTTATCTTTTTTAAAATATATATAATTTTATTATTATTTATTATTATAATTAATTAATAATTTTAATATTAATAAACAAAAACTAAACATAAAATTTTATCTGATAAATTCAAACAATATTAAGTATCTATTAATTTCTTGTAGGAGAAGGAACAAGCAAGGCAACGATAAAAAAATAAGAAGAATTTTTTACCCTTTTAATGGGTCCTACATCCAATTTTTAGTAGTTCTTTCCCGAAGGAGGAATAAGAAAGGCAACGATCAAAAAATAAGAACTTTTGACTTTGATGGGACCTACACTTATTTTTTCAGACATTAAGTATTTATTATTATTATTATTTATTATTATAATTAATTAATAATTTTAATATTAATAAATAAAAACTAAACATAAGATTTTATCTGATAAATTCAAATAATATTAAGTATCTATTAATTTCTTGTAGGAAAAGAACAAGCAAGGCAACGATAAAAAAATAAGAAGAATTTTTTACCCTTTTAATGGGTCCTACATCCAATTTTTAGTAGTTCTTTCCCGAAGAAGGAATAAGAAAGGCAACGATAAAAAAAAAGAACTTTTGACTTTGATGGTACCTATACCTATTTCTTCAGACTTGAACGTACACTTTAGCAAGCATTTCTTGGTGGATTAGGGTTTGATTCTTGACCTTAATTATTATTATTATTATTATTATTATAGGGAATTAAGATTAAGAGTAAAAAAATTTATGTCATTAGTTTTGATTTGTTAGATATGATAAGATCGAATTTTATTTTTAAATTGACGATGAAGTTGAAATCAAAAATAAGTTAAGAATTTTTTTTTTTAAAATTAGAATTGGATCGAAGTAAAATTTTTGGTAATATCACTTCAATTCAATTCGAATGTGTAAGAAATATTTTTTTATTAATTAATTAATTATATATATTATAATAATATAATTATTATTTAAATTTTAATTAATGATATTAATTTAATAAAAATAATATATTTATATAATTAATATATAATTTATATTAAAAATAATATTTTATAAATATTATATTAAATTAAAATTGTTAAATTAATTTTAGATGTAGATTTCTAAATACATGAGTCAAGTTTGAAAAAAATAATATTTTAATGTAAGGTTGGAGTTGGATGTCAATATTAAGGGATCAAGTCATAATTGGGGCGAGTAAAAATTTGCTTTTGACTTCACCCGTTGTCATCTTTTGTTGAGATTAGCAAATTTGTTTAGCGGTTAAATCAAATCTGATAAATCGCTCAAAATCCTACTTAAGGCTCAACCTTTAGATTTAAGAGGTGCAAATTTTTTAATAAATATTTTAAAAAATTAAAATATTATTATTTTAAAAAATTTTATATAAAAAATAAATTTTATTAATAAAACAAAATTTCAAGTTGAATCAAGCTGAACTTGATTTCCTAAAACTCGTGTCCATCTTCTAACCTAAGTCGAACCAAACTTGGGCCAGATAGCTAATAAGGCTCGTGAACAAATATAATGGAGAGTAACTTTTTTTTTATGAGACTGTATAGTTTGTAAACAAATGACAATTTATAATATAAATTAGCCATAAAATGATTTAATAAAAAATTGTTTATGATAGTCTGAAGATCTCAAAAAGGAGGTAAAGGCAGTAAGTTGAAAGAGTAACTAAAAGAAACTATTGAGATTGATTTCATTTATTTAGATAATATAGATACAAGTAATTTCATACCAAACATCATTTTATAAGAAAAAAATCCTACGATTTTGAAAATGTTTATTCCATATTTATTTTGAAGAGGCTTATAACATTACTTTATGAGAGACATCTATTTCCGTCCGTGAATCGGTTCTCTTATTTTATTTAATTACCATTTTAATTAGGTCAAAGACAAAAATTATTATGCCGCATGCTGACAGAAAATTCATGTAAAAGCCAGTGAGCAAAATTGTCCCAAAGAATCAGAATTGTGATCTAGGTTCAAAAGCATGTTACCCTACCCAATCATGATTTTGGGATAGAGCACTTATAGCAGCTACAATGAAAAAAAAAATTATATAGAAATGTAGATCTGATGAACCAGAAACGAGAGAATTGAAGCTCCTCTGCTAATGGTTGTTTCGCACGAGAGGAACAGGTTTGAAAGAATTTCATTCTTCAGCCGCACTAGCAGCACTCAGGTCCACGGACAAATCAAGAGCCTGTACAACATGGGAATAATTATGAATGAATCAACCATTGCAACAGCGATTAAAATGGAGATATGTTACTACAAAATGCAATAAGATGAAAGTCAAAATCAATGTTACTCCGGCTCTTCATTTTTCTTTTAAGTATCCATGCCTGATAATTTCGACAAACATGGGCATGGAGATCCAACCCTCCAAAAGACACATACCCATATCCACACTCATTTCAAAGTCAAGTAACATAGGTCAAAAACATTGGAAACTGAACGCTACCTTTCCAGTAATCTTACTATACATCTCGATCACATCATTCACGGTGGTTTCAAAGTGAGTAGTTGGATCATAACTCTGCAGGAAATTTAAAACTTGAATCAGGACAATTAAGTTCTGAAGATAAAGGTAAAAGTTCGAAGTAGTGAAAGCTCTGATTCATTTGACAAAGATGCAAATTATTTGGAAGCCAGAAGGTTTTTTCACATCACGCATGGACGAAAAGGGTACCGGTGGGAAAAGTTGCCATTGGTACTTTCCGTTCAATATTTTCTCCAAAGAATATGCTGAGTAATAAAGATAGAAGTACCCTTACAGCAGATATGAAGCAGTTGTCGGCTTCATGGTTGTTAGTGGGAACATATCTGTCATAAGTGTCATAGAATATCTCATCTACAAATCCCAGTAAGTCAATGCCGGGCTTCAACTCTAGCTCAGGGTTGTCAGTCTCTGCTTCTGTTGAAACAAAAGCAATGTATTTTCCCTTGGGGGCTACATTATGAGCATATGAGCAACAAAACAGGTACCTGTATCATCAAAAATAAACCTTAGAAGTTACCAGAGATGAGGCACTTATAGAATTCCCTCCTACTGTAGTGCATAAAATCTCTCCCGAACATTCAAATAAGCCTTTTACAATGAACAAAAAGACTCAATTGGTGAAGCTAAAATTGTGACAACAGTATGCATAGAGTGAAAACTACAAACATGAACATACGTGCACTATTTTAAAGTTAATCATTGCATTTGCATCAGTGTTTCTGTTTTAGCCACTTGTTCCTGAAGAAAAATTTACAAATTAGCTGAAAAAGTTAGCAGCATACATGTCGGATTTACGACCAAGTTGCTTCTGTGGCAGAATAACCTGGGCTGAGTGAGAATCATCGGTACGAGGAATAGGGTGGCTCATTATGCATATGGCACGAGCAACTTTTCCAACCTTCTGAACCTGTTGCAATGAAAAAGACATGACAGAAAAAGTATAATTAGTTTGTGAGGATGTATATTTGTCCATAAAAGAAAAAATGATGGTTTCTTCAGAGGTACCACCTTATCAGGCAAATAAGATGGATCACAAACAACTTTCTTACACTTAGCAGTTTCTCCTTCAGAAGTCACACCAATAGCTTTCCCATCACTATCAAATTCTACCTGCAATCCGAAAAACAAAACTTTTATAAAAGTCTCAGAAGAGAAATGTAAAGCCATCCTTAATTCAGCTTCCTCTGTCACTCGTCCATTTGTGAACTATTAAAAGGCATTAAGTGTAGAAATCTGATTCTCTTATACTAGTGCAACAATTTCTTTTTTTTTTTTTATTTAGTTAATTATTCTAATTATCAAGTATTTATGGATTTATTTCTATTTTAGAGTAAAATAATCTTCTTTTCGTTTATTATTTTTGTTTCCTGTTTCCTGTAAGGTGTTTTCTAATAAGGAATATCACTATTCCTATTTATTTTGATGTACTCCTTCGTTCTAAAGTAATAAAAGAAAAAAAAAAAAAAACAATTGTTCTCTAAGTTTTCTACTTGATATTAGAGCTAGTCCTAAACCATTAGAATGTAGCCATATAAGTTTCCATCAATGCCAGCAGAAGTGAGAACATTTCCTCATAAGTCACGTTGACACCTGGAGGAACAACTTCTGCTATTGTTCCCAATGGTCTCAAAAAACTAATTCTTCAAATTACTGGACACACTAAGACACTTGTTGGAGGATCCATCGGAAGCCTCCCAACTTGAAACCTGCATGAGAAAGAGATAGACGAGGAAATGTGGCAGCCACCAAACCTCAACCACAAACAGAACCATGTCCCTTTAACAAGGTACAACTTAAAATTTTGCAAAAAAATGCTTCACCAAACCCTTCAAACAACTCTGCAACATTTGGAATCAGTTCCTTAGTATAAAAAAGTATTTTCCTAAATGCCTTAAGTTTTTAATAGGGAAATACAAAATTTTGGATTGTTGATTCAAGAGCATCAGATCACATGACTAAAAATACATCTTTATTCAACACTTATAAACCTTGCTATGATAGTTTTATCGTAAAAATTGCTGATGGCTCTGTTTCTCAAAAGTAACAGGAACAGGTTCTATTATAGTTTTAAAAGGCATAACACTCGACTCTGTCCTTCATGTCCCAAATTTAAGCTATAACCTACTTCCCATCTGTAAGCTTATGCAGGATAAATGTTGTGTCACTAATTTTTTTCTCAACTTATGTGAATTTCTGGAATTGGGCTTGGGGAGGATGAGCGGCAGTGCTAAAATGTGCCTCTACCTTCTTCAAAATGATGCACTTAAGAAACCACAAAACTATTGTATAGCCTTAGCCTCTAGTACTAGTAAAGATGACCCTATCATGTTATGACATTATAGACTAGGATATCCAAATATTTTATACCTAAAAAGGTAGTTTCTCTTATTATTCAATAAAGTCCCTAAAAATTTTCAATGTGAAATTTGTTAACTTTTTAAACACACTCGAAAACCTACCCTAGCCTTTCCTATAAACCATCTCGACCTTTCTTAATGATTCACAATAACTTTTGGGCACCGTCAAGAATTAATAATATTATAGGTTTTAAGTGGTTTGTTACATTTATTGATGATCATACTCGACTCTCTTGGGTATTCCTTATGAAAGAAAAATTCAAAGTTGACCAAATCTTTCAAAACTTCAATAGCAAGTTAAAAATTCAATTCCAAGCCAAAATCCAAGTCCTGAAAACTGGCAATAGGAGGGAATACTTCAGCTATTCTCGATCCTTACCTCATCAATCATGGCATTATCCATTAAAGCTCGTGTTGAAATTCTACAGCAAAATTAAGTTGTCGAACAAAAACAAATATCTTATAGAAATGACCAGATCTCTCTTGTTGGCTTCTAATGTGTCTAAACATTTTTTAGGAGAAGTTGTCCTCACTGTAACTTATTTGATTAACCGAATGCCTTCTCGAGTTCTTAGCTTTAAAATGCCTTGTCAAACTCTTTTTGCTTTCTTCCACAAACTTAGTTGATCTTCTCTATTCTCGTCAAACTCTGTGGTTGCATGGCTTTTGTTCATATCAACAAAAAAAAAGCGCAGCAAGTTTGATCCTAAAGCCTTAAAATGCATCTTCTTTAATTATTCTCCAAACCAAAAGGGCTACTATTATTCACTTATCATAAAAAAGGTTTTATAGCTCTATGGATGTCACCTTCTTTGAGAATCTTTTATACTACAGTAAGAATAATATTCAAGGGGAGATACTACTCAAGAATATCAATTCTTAGTTGTTGACTTGCCAATTTCCCAAACAACTCCTTCAAATCCAGATTCCTAACCAAGCCCTTTAAAATCAGATTCTTAACCAGCCCTTTCAAAACCATATTCGAAAACTGAACCTATTCAAACAACTCAACTCTTCAAACCCTAAAGTTATGCAAGAGAAAACAAAAGAGCTGATGGTCTACTCAATGAAGTAAAAAAAGCTGAAAGCAGTGAACAATTGAACACAGCCAAGTACTAAAAATCAACCTGATTCGAGTCTCCAAGAACCTAAACTAACACAGGTAATATCCCTATTAAATATGAAAATGAAACTTGTGAGCTAGTTGGTAACCTTGAAATTTCTATTACATTAAGAAAAGGTGTGAGATCATGCATTCGGTATCCTATTTGCAAGTACATCTCACATGAAAGGTTAAATCAAAACTTTCGGGCCTTTATTACTAACTTTAACAATGTGCAAATTCCAAAAATATTCAAGAAGCGCTCAATGAACCAAATTAGAAGGCAGCAATTCTTGAGGAAATCAAGGCACTAGAGAAGAATGAGACATGAGAAATTTCAGATTTGCCCAAAGAAAAAATTCAGTTAGATGTAAGTGGATATTCACAATAAAGCATGATACAGATGGAAGTATAAACAGTCTAAAGTTAGACTTGTTGCAAAGTGGTTCACTCAATCCTATAGGATAGAATATGAGGAGACTTTTGTTCTGGTAGCCAAACTCAATTCAATCAAAGTTCCTTTGTCACTAGCAACCAGCTTGGATTAGCCTCTCCACCAACTTGACATCAATAATGCATTCTTAAATGGTGACTTGGAGAAAGATATCTACATGGAAATTCCTCCCGATTTCGAAGGGCAAGGTGTGCAAACTCCAAAAAGCTTTATATGGACTTAAACAATTTCCTCAAGCCTAGTTTGAATAATTGACCAAGGTAGTGAAGAGGTATTGATTCCTTTAATGTCAATCTGACCATACTATATTTATTAAGTTCACTACTAAAAGAAAAAGAGTCATTCTTATTATCTATAAGGACGATATCATAATCACTAGAGACCACAAAGAAAGAATAAAGGATTTAAAGAAACTCCTTGCAAAGGATTTTGAAATAAAAGACTTGGGATTTTCTAACATATTTTCTTGGGATGGAAGTGGCTTGGTCTAAGAATGGAATATTAATATCTCAATGTAAGTATATACTTGATCTACTTAAAGAAATTAGTATGATTGGATGCAAACCTGCCAATACACCCATAGACTCAACTAATAAATTGGTAGTGAAGATAGAAGCTCTCTCACGGATAAAAGGTGATACCAAAGACTAGTTGAAAAGCTTATTTATCTCTCCCATACACGACCTGACATCAGGTTTGCAGTGCAGATTGTGAATAGATACATAAATAATCCAACCAAGGAACACCTCAAGGCTGTTCATCGCATCCTACAGTACTTAAAGAAGAGTCTTAATGAAGGTCTATACTATAATAAGTCAATGGACAATGCAATCAAAGTGTACATAGATGTTGGCTTGAGTGGATCAATAACAAATAAAAGGTCCACTATAGGATATTGCACTTACGTTTAGGGCAATTTGGTCACTTGACGAAGTAAAAAACAAGCTATTGTAGCTAGAAGTAGTGTTGAGATTGAGTTTAGAACAATGTCCCATAATATTTGTGAAAAAATTTGGCTGATAGGGTTACTTGGAGAATTAAAAGTTCATACTGTGATATCTATGACTTTGTTTTGTGACAACAAGGCTACCATAGGTACTGCCAAAAATCTCGTTTATCATGACAGAACCAAGCACATAGAGTTGGAATGACATTTCATAAAGGAAAGGATACAAAATGGGTCGATCAAACTGGCCTATGTCTCCACAAGTTCTCAAATTGCAGATATGTTAACTAAAGCTCATCCCAGAAGCATCTTTGATGGATTGAAATACAAGCTGGGTATGATTAACATTCATAACCCAGCTTGAAAGGGAGTGTAGAAATATGGTTCTACTACATTAGTGCAGTTATTTTCTAATTTTTCTGATTTAATCAACTATTCTAATTGTCAAGTTTTGAGGGATTTATTTTTATTTTAGAATAAAATAATTCTCTTTCCATTTATTATATTTTGTTTCTTATTTGCTGTAAATTGTTTCCTACTAAGGAACATCAATGTTCCTATTTATTTTGATGTACTTCTTCATTATAAAATAATATGAAAAAAAAAATTATTCGCTAAGTTTTCTACATTAAACACTTTCATGTCCCAAAAATCAGGATCATAGAATGTCCAAATGAAACCAGAGAAACAAGATGATTCACTCTATGATATGAAGATGTGCATTTTTTTCTTTGATTCTTTATATTCATTATAAGGAATCGCAACTGCAAACATTAGTGTTGATAATTAATCCCTGTAAGTCTCTTGCTTAAGGATTTGCTGCTGATATCAATGTTAAAGATCCTAACATAGAAATTGATTCTAGGGTAGAAGTTTACTGAATATACCACTAATTTACTAGAAAAATGCTAGTATAAGGAATACAATCTTCTATAACTTTGAGCTTACTTTGCATTTGTGCACTTCAAGCATGAAGCATAGCACTAACTTTCTAAGACCTATAATTAAGCAAGCTAAGGAAGGTAAGTGCATTGCATGGCAAAGCAGAATTAATTTTAAAAACAATTTGAAGAACAAATTATCAGATATATACTACAAGTTAGCAATCTTTGGAGTATGTTCAAAAATGAGAAAGCCATTCAATGGGGAATATAATATAAGCCTCAAATTATAAGAATAATTGCCATATAGGGTTACTCAAATGGGTGCACCTTGGAGACATACTGCTTGACACTATATGAGCAACTGACCAGTAAAGGACTCAATGGCAAGCGTCAAGATGATATTCTCAAGCATTGGCCAAGTTGACTGCTAATCACTAGTTGCTTAATCGTACTTTACAGAAAATAAAGCAAATTAAATTCTGGTTTTCAAAATGTTTTGAGGGATTTACCTTACATTCTGGCTTGTTGAGCATGTACGTACCACCATAAACAGCACTTAAACGTGCAAATGCCTGTCAATAGAGACACAATAACATGTCAAACAAACAATATTTCTATTAAACTAGAAACAAAAGTACAGATAAAGACACACCTGAGGCAATTCTCCCAATCCATATAGTGGATAGATATAAGGAGATCCTCCTTGAAACCGTGCCAAAGACTCTGCATAGAGCTTTACCAAAAAAAAAAAAAAAAGCGGAAATACTCTGAATATAATCATGAAGAATAAGCTTAAGCAGAATGTATATGCCCAATCAAAAACTTTATTTGGTTTCTTCCAACCAGTATCATGGAACATGGAGCTTAAGAATCAACCATTGCCTGTTATAACAAAGATGAACACAAAACAAACTTTTACCTTCACTCTCTTAACAAAATTCAAAGCTGGCAGATCCAAGTAACTATCATCACTGTGGAGTGCCAAGGCATGACCGATAAAGTCAACTGTATCATCTTCCAGCCCATACTTTCTACATTGCATAAATTAGCATTCATCAAGACCGGTAAACTGTAATCATACTAGCTAATGGATAGGACAATTAGAGTAAGTAATATTAATGATCATGAGCAGACATGATCCTTCAAATATGTCATATCTTGGTCCTAGAAAGCAAACATCCCTTCTTAGAAGGGAAAAATGAAATTCCAACCGCAAACTTCCTTGCAAAAAGCAGATGAAAGAAACCAAAGGTCATGAAAAAAATCAAAAGTAAAATATTTTACCCATTTGTATAAGAGAAAATTTGGAAATTTGAGTAACATTTTAGTTAGAAATTAAGAAATTTTAACCTACAAGTTTAAACACACAATTTATAACCATTGCATATATTGTTATTAATTTCGTAGTCAATGTAAATGCTTAGAGCAAACTTTTTAGAGGGAAATAGGGATGAGATACCCACGAGATAAGTTCTCTCGCTGTTACTTTATTCAGGTCAAGTTCTTCATGAGATTTTGGATCATTATCTTCATAGTCTTGGACATAAATGAAGAACTTTCTGGCACGGCGCTTCTCAAAAAGCCCCATTAATGGTGATTTCAGTGCCTCAACATCAGTTGCTGGAACTTTGTAGATCTACAAGTTATGATAATTGCTTAAGTTGTTATAGGTGATAGAACATCGTTCGCACTAATAATTAGAAACAAATGATACAAAAAATTACAACACTCTTACTTTTCCCTTGTTGTACACAAAACTACCATCCACAGCCTTGAAGTTAAGATACTTAGTAACATTTGTGTGGATGAGAACACGAACCAAACCGCCATTGGCCATCATGAACTGTGAAACCAAATTAAGCGTTCATCATAAAAAATGATTAGCACAAAGATGGCATATTCATTGGTAACTAGTTTGTCACTGCACATTTTAAACACACAGTGCTCAAAACAAACAAAAAAATTACAGAATTTATACCATTCCGTGTAAAAAAGAAATACTATTCAATTACATATATTTAATTGTATTACAAAAATTTATTACTAAATAACAAAGGGATGTTACATAACCATATTATTAACATATATGAAGTGCAACCTAAAATATGCATCCAACAGGCAATCAAGTACTGCAAACTATAAAAATAACATATAGCTAAATTTGGTTACTGATTAGTCACAGAGAGGTCAAATTATAGAAAAGCTTGTTGCATGCCTTGGGAATCATGTCAACATTATATTCCCTGCTTGTGCCTAGCAGTTCCGGAGGCTTGTCATCTCCCTTGAAATGTTTCCAAAGCTATACAAAAGAGAGACAAAATTTTCAGAAAATGGCTAAGGAAAATATCAGATGAACCAAATTGCTAGAAATGTTTTAACAGAAAAGATTAAAAAAAAAAGAAAAAAGTTCATCATTTAATGAAAGAAGAATGACCTGCATGAGATTAAGAGAAGTTGACGCTGCTCCGTAATAGTCATTTCTGTCCATGTGCAAAACCTGTTGTGAAATGCAGTGATATCCGGATAAAAGCTAATGATTAATGCAGAATGATAAGATTTTAACCTAACAATCTAACATCTATCCCACTTCCATTATCACCTGTTTTGCAGAAACTGATTCTCACATTCATTATTATATTAATGCCTATCTAGAAATAGAAGTACTTCTTCCAAAGAAGAAAAGGTAAAAAGCTGGGTACCCTTTATTCCTAAAAGAAAACCCAGATTGCACATTGCTTTGAAACATGAAAACATAGAAATTAAACAAAGAGCTGTGATATATTAACAAGGGACGTACTTTGAGACCATCAACGGAGAGAAGACCACTGAGAATGCATTCCTTAAGGCCTGTCCCTAGAACTATCACATCGTACTCTTCATCCATGGTTGAATATCCTGATCACAAGGTTTTCTAAGATTTCAATCTTTCTTTTGCTTTTTCCTGTGAGAGAGAGAATGAACGGGGACTGGGAAGTGAAATGGAAAAGGAGAGAGAGAGTTGGCTTTTTGTGTGCGTTCAGTCTGGAACAGGTCTTTAGCGGGAATAACGAGACTAACGCTTTCGTAAAGTACTAAATTCACGCCATTTTATGCGCGTGGGATGCATGGAGCACTTCGAGAACAACACGTGGATCGGCATCTCGAGGTTTTTAGTTGGAGAGAGTAGACCTCGCTCCGTGCTAGCTTTTCCGACTACTGACCCTTTCAATCTCAAGGTCAAAGGAGGGGGAGAGGGAGAGAGAGAGAGAGAGAAAGAGTTTGCGGGCTTTAAGTTTGTTTTTCCTTAAATTTTGAAAACAATTTGGGTTGAAATGAAAACATTTATACTTATCAAACAAGTACATAAATAATGATCAATACTGTAACTTGATATTATTATCAAGTTGTTATCATATGGAATGTATCCTAGAGATTGATTATGAATTCAGAAATCAACATGCAAAAACAATTTGATGACAAAGAAAATTCTGGTGTTGAATCTCCAGATGAACCCGAGATTTTTAATTACACTGTGCTTGCACTTTCTTGGTCATTGCTGATGATCACTACTACAAACTACAAAGTAACAACATGGCAATAGATTTCAAATACATAATTGATAACCCAATCTTTTGAAATGATTTAATTTGCCAATATGCATAACAAATTCAATTATAAATGCCTTAATGCGTGTATGACCGGTAGCTTCTTCCAACACTTTCAAACCCTTATACACTTAGCAATGTATATATTTGTATATTGAGATCACCAAATGACTCATCTATTTATACACTTAAATAGGCATGTAAAACCCAGTTTTATTGTAATCTGACTTCTTCCTAAAACAAATTACTGACTCATCAACAAGTACGATTAGAGTGGATAAATTGGTTATCTTGAGCCTATATAAACACAAATACAATATACATACAAGAGCCAGGTTCTATATTTTAATGATAAGATTATGCAAGATCATGATCACTTCTTCACAACATCCTCTCAAACCTTTCAACAGTCGGGGAGAGGTAACCTGCAGAAAGGCATTCGATGATACACTCAGGCCAGGCTATAGCAGAAAGAGAAGCAATTCAGTATTTGCAGTACCAACAACCAAGTAATTTTGTAAAGCAACTACAATGTTTTAACAGAGATAAATGGATCCATTATTTGTGCTGTTGCTATATTTGGTAGTAATATCAAAATCTGATTCATCTAAAATTATAGATGCAAAATGTTACATGACTACTTACCCCAATCTGAGAGAAACGTCAGAGCTATTATACCCCTGAGGAGGATCTCCAGATCTCTGAACATGAGCAATTGACTCTGATGATTGGCCTTGATGAGCTACAACTGCTTCCACCACATGAGGTAAATTCTCCATCTAACAAAATTAACTTGGCTGTCAATGAAGTGAAAGCAGGATACAAGAAAGTTTTTGAAATGAGTACACACTCACTTGCTGTTTCAATAGCTGGTTTTCCTCCATCAGTTCAGCTCCCTTCAAATTCAACAATGATAAAGAATTTAAGTACTAGATCATTTGTACAGGAGAGTGAGAGAGAAGTATTGAGAATAAACAAAGTACAGTGAATCTTTGCGGATTAAAATCTTTGAATGCAGAAGCAGATATGTTCAATTGTTTCCTGGGCCCTTTTAAGTTTCATATCTCTTCCATTGAAACTTTCCACTATATATTGCCTAAGCTATCGCCAGAACTTAATATTTTAAATCTTTCTTCACTTGCTTATTTTCTACATAATGGAATCAAGTTACACTACATATTAAGCAAGCCATGAAAAAAAAACAAGATTAACAAAAGAAATCTTCAATTGGGAAATTAAAACAGTAAAATTGTCATGTTCCATATTTGATATCATCCAATTTATTCCTTTTTACTATAAGAAACTTATGCAAATCCTATCAATTGTTGCAAGTTAGCTACTTGTATCACCTTCCTCTTGAGGGTGCTGATTTCTTTCATACATCGCTCATCCTGAAACATGAAAGTTTCACCATTAGTTAGATCACAACCTACAAAAGTTTCAGGTGACAATATAACATCCACTAACTGAGGGTGAAAATAAAGCTTAAAATGCGAGGATGAGGGGTGAGTTGGAGGAGATAGGACTTCAAAAACCTTTGTTTTCGTAACTTGGCTCAGGCCTCCTTCGAGTAATTTCTCTAGGTGCTTTAATTCTTCTAAGTCTAAACCTTGGAGCTCCTCTCCTCTCAACTGTCTATCAATGAAAGGATGGCACAACATCATCATGGTAACCTCATATATCGCAACGACAAAGCAGCAAATATTCAAATTACCTCAGTTCTTGGGTTTTTTCTGCTACTTCCTTACTCAACATAGCATAAGTGCTACTCTCAAGCTAAAACAAAACAAAAGAGCAGCTTCTTCAGCATCAATTGGTTATCACTTTCCAAGCAAATAGGGATAACAAGATCAGGTACTATAGCAGGAATTTTCAAGGGACACCCAATTAAATTGGAATGTGCTGCCGCAGTTGCATTTTCTAGGACTAAATTCTTAGTCACTCTAATTTTTCATACAGACAGTAACATTTACGCAAGAAGTTCAAAGTTAAAATGTAAACATGCTAGTTTGACAAGATATTTAATACTCATGAAGATTCAAAGACCGCAATTTTTTGTGACAATTGTTCGTTTGGATGATATACATGGTTGAATCTTAAAACAAGGTTAATATCCTTAGGTACCCGAACTGAGTATCATGGTAAAATGACTTGAAATCATTAGTAGATGAGTAAACCAACAAATATGGTAGTATTGGATTCGAAAAGAATATTATTGTTACTTAGGAAGACAGTATAGAACGGTGATTTATGCTGTTTACAATTTGAATATCGACAATAATACAAAATTGCAGCAGTGACAGATGAGCTTCTAAAGATAAAAAGGCTTCTTACATGTGCTTAATCCACCTAATTGATAATTGAAACACACTTACCTTGTGATATTATAAATAAAACAGATAGCATTGCTATAAATTTCCCATAATTTACCAGCAGCAACCTGTATTGTATGTGCAATACAAACAAGAAGAAAAGAATAAAAGCTCTTATAACCTGCAGCTCAAGAGATGGAATGGTGTCCAATCTGTCAAACCTTTCTGACTCCAGATTGCGCCTTTCAATCACCTGCCACGTACTAGGGATAACAACAGAATGACACTGATCAGTCACTAGTAGAACTACCCTAACTTAAGACCAAAAAAAAAAAAAAAAGAAAAACAGATAATATTTGGTTTGCAATAGAGTTGAAAGATTATATATATTATAGAATATCTGTTAGTACACACACCCTTATTGGACTCGGGGATGAATCTCTGATATATAGGAACCAAAGTAGGGTGATCTAAGGAGCAATTTCTGAGCATTTTCCTAACCATATATGATGCATATATAAATATGGGACGGCAAACCTAGTCTGTGTGCTTGCTAGGATAAGTCTTCGCTTGCTCAAAGTTAAGGGTTCTAGCCAGTATAAAGATTATAATTGCATTTTTAACTTTAAAAGTTTTTTAATTTCCCTTATATATTGTCTATATAACAATTTTATCTCTGGCTGTAAAATCAGAGTTTCATAGACTGTAGGTAACGAATTATGAAAGTGCTATACCTGGCTGTAGTATATCATGCAGGAGTCTGTGTTAAAAACTTAAGGTGTTAAAAGGGTTCTTGACAGCCCTTCTCTGTATGAACGATTTATATTTTCAATAAAAGCTTGCTTTACAATATATATATATATATATATATAAAACAATTTTATCTCAATAAATAAATTCTTGTTTCAATAGTAGGGTTGATAAGTGTTTGGTCCAACTTGATTTTGGACAAAATTCGGTTAATGTGTAATATTTTCATTTTTTAGAAACTGAATTTAATAATTCTAACCAAATTCCATTATTTCATATGATTCGATTTATGGACTTTTGAAACTTTTAAAAGAAAATCTTTTAATAGTAATTTTAGTTTTTTTGCACTAATTTAGAAATGAAAAATTTTTTTTATTTTATAAAAAATAAAAATTAATAAAAGCCTATAATTCAAATTGATTTGGATACTTTTAGTATTTTAACTTGCAATAAATGAAAAGTTGTTAAATTATATTTTCTTTCATAAAACTAACTTGTGACTTTCTAAAATATAATATGACATGCTTGGGATAATTTTATTATTTTAACTTGCAATAACTTTTTTCAATCTCGAGATTGTGTAATTAGTTTTAAATTATAATTTCTTATCTTCAAAATCAATGTCCAAATATTCCAACTTGAACCTGCCCTAATATCCCTTAGTTTATAAGTGATTGGGTGAATGATAAACATAACCTCTAATAATATGAACTTTAAATGCCAATTTTCAGCCACCATGTCAATGGTGAACATTAAACAGTAAATTACTCAATTTAGCTAGAGCTACTTTTCACTGAAAAGCTAAGTAAGCTACAACTAGTTTCATCCCCAGTTTAGTTCTTTTGAATTGAAGAAGCTTAAAAAATAAGTCTCATGTCTCCATCTCTAGACTCTAATCCATTAGCTGTTGAAATCTTGCACAATCTTCTCAAATGACATTATTCATATATTGATATGTATTGTTCATGAAAGATATATGGATAATGTAGAACTCATTAATCATGTAGATTGCAAAGCTAAAGATTGATAAAAATGTATTAAAACTGTAAATAAATAGTTTCTAAAATATTTTCTTTATATTAACGACTTTATTATGATCTGTCGGTAATTTCAAAAAAAAAAAATATGATCTATTTGTAAATTGTTGGACTCTTAGTATTAGTGATTAGGATTCAAATTCTAATTGCCTTAGTTACCAAGAAATTGTTCCCTAAAGCAAAGTGTTCCGAGGTTAATGATCTTGGCCTAGTGGTGCATCCCAAAAAGTTAATCAAACTTCTGCAACATGAAGCTATTGATCAACTTTAGAAAACAATCCTAAAATCCTTAATTTTCCCCACCTAAATCATTTATAAACCACCCAAAACTTATACCATCTAATCTTAGCCTATATTTTAAAGTTAATCATATATTTTGTATGTGAACTTTGATAAAATGTACAAATTGATACTTTAAGAAAAAATTTACAGGAGCAATTAAAACTAAAATTAAGGATTTTAGAAATGTAAAATTGATAATGAAAATTAACAATTGGCTGGGTGCACGAGCAACTAAAACCAATATATATAAACTCCAGTGGCAAAAGAAGGTTGCCCTCATGAAATGAGAAAGAAATGAACAGTTACATATGGCAAGGCATGACAAGTACTTTTGTAAGTGAATGAATTAAAGCTTTTCTAGATCATACTTATGAGAAATTTGCATTCTCTTTATATTATTTAGCATTAATTGACCTTAAGAAATGCTGAGAAACACCTATTTACTTCTACTTTGAATAGTATTGATTTTCATTCAAATTCAAACACTGTGGGGGGCCACCAATTTGATGAAATCCCTAATCTTTTCTTTCTCCTTTCTTTGAATAGTTAAAAGAAATAGATAACTTAAACTCAGGACCTCTTTTATAAGGAAAAACTGAGCTCAAACTAGAATTTTTAAAAATTACTTCAACTATTTTTTGCTAAATCAAATCATATAGATATATATATATATATATATATATTTATATTTATATATTATATTACAAAATATATGGTTACCAGATAAGCTATACTAATGTGGAAACTTATATAGATAGTTTCTTTCGTGACATTAAAGAAAATTCTTAAAATTTCTTGACACAAGATATTTACTAATTTTAGATAATTTATCAAAAATATATTTAAATTTTGTTTAATTATCCAAAACTTTCAAAATTTAAGCGAAAAACCAATTATTTAGCTATCCAAAACTACCTATTTATCTCTTATTAACGGTTTTAAATTTTAGATATAACCTACAATGCAAGTTAACTATTTAAAAAAATATGGTTTTAAATATTAAATTCTATTATCTTTACATGATTTTATATTTAGCATACATATTATACATTTTTTCACCTTATTAGGTGTTCTTTTATTCTAACATAAAATTCTGGTACTTTTACCAACTATGAAATTGGCTAAACAAGTATAGCACTACAAATATAATTCTCTTGATATCAGATTCTTTGATATTGCCCTTCTTTAATATCTAAAGTTTATGATAATTACCTTTTGTTCCTAGGTTTTTGAAGATTTTGAAACAAGGTGTTAGGTTGACATCATGTTGTTTGTATGGAGCATGGAAGAGCTCCTTACCACATCTAAGAGATGAAACAAAAGAGAGAGGTTGATATAGTTGTTGGGGCACATGGCTGCATAAAAGGTCAAAGTGGTCATTATTCATTTAAGTGCTTTTGATAGTTTTAGAGATGCCATTCAATTCTACATTGTTTAAATACTTTTATCAGTTGATATTGTTGATGCTATATTGCAAATGGTTCAGAATCACATAGAGAGGGAGAATACTCATTTAGGTTCATTGAAATTTCAAGTTCTTGATGAGGTGGGTGAAATGCTGAGAATGGAATTTATTGATGATGTTGAACTTATATTAGGTATATATTTTGTGAATGCAACTATTTTTTACTTTTGGAGTGGTGGATGGATGGTATAAGTTTTCATATATGAAAGTTAAAGAAATAGAATGCATTTGAATATTGTAGATGTTCGTTACACCTTTATTTCTATATGCATCACTATTCTATTTGATTTACTTATGAGTTTAATTTTCCAAGAAAGGTAGAGGATGCAAGTAAAGTTCATTCACTTTTTGTAGTGCCGCCTTACATATGCCGTGTAGATGATTACTAGGATATTTTATATTTTTGACAAGAAAGATAATAATTTAATTTTAATTATTTATCAAATAATTTTATTCAATTAATTATTTAATTTTAAACTATTTAAAATTTTAAAAAATTAAACTTATTCAAATCTTTCAACTATTTTATCTCAATTTAAATTAGATAAAATTTATCTCAAAAGTCACTTTTTTCAAATATATATGTACAACATTTAAAATTTAAATAACCTTTTCATATTAAATTCCTAAACATTAGCAACTATCAAGAGCACTATATGTCCATCTCCAATTAAAACTACCAAATTCATATTTCAAATATGTACTGCATTTGTAAGGAATTTTATTTCTCTTTTATCACTTATTATGTTATTTTTTAAATTAAAAAAAATTACCATTCATCTTAATTATTGTCATACAAAAAAATAATAATAATAATCCATACATTTTTTCAATTCAAAAAATAATCTATAAATCTATGGTACATATAAATTTATTGTTGTTACCATTAAGTGCATGTAATAAGCCAAGTTTTTGGGTATTTCGCAATCAATTAAGTTCTGATTTGATGTAAAAGATGCCGAGAAGATTTTTTATATAAAAAGAAGATACTACCCTCTTAATTAAGTTTAACTAAAAATGTTATATCCAATGAGATTTTTATAACCCACTGTCTACTTATTTTTCATAATAAATTGAGTAATAGTTAATTTCCTTAATGCGTGAGTTTCATATAGTAAATTAAGCAGTAGTTAGTTTCCTTAATGCGCCGGGTATGATATCTGTATATATTTCTATTCCTTCTTTAGATGGTATGTACTTTTGATGTAAGTTGTTTTGTTAATCGCTATGAAAATCATAATGATTGATTTATGTAATATAATATTTTATTCCCCCCTAGCGTAAGGTAAAATAAACTTTTAAACAATTGAGAAGGTAACATAATTCAATTGAGAAGGTAACATAATTTGCAATGTAAAATAATGTTCTATTCATGTTCACATTATCAAATTTAATGCGTATTTTATATATACTTGGAAAATATAAACATTTATATAAATTAAGTTTATATAATATTAATTTATGAGTTTATAGTCTATACACATTTAAATAAATAAATCAACCAATGCATCGCGTATGTAACAAATTAGTTTCATTAATAATAAAAGTGAGATAACACTCACAATTTTACACCAAAATCCAAATAAAACATCTGAATACAATTTTACTAAAACTCAAATACCAAGGGATTCCTAACATAAATGCCTCTAATGTATATGGTCCCATTTTGTCTCACAGTTTGAATCTTTAAGAATTGTTCCATGAGTGAATTTTGTTTTACCATTGTCCT